AAAAGAAAGACAAAAATAAATAAAGATACAAATAAAAATAAAGATATAATAAAATAAATAAAATAATGAAGATATAAGGAATAAATAAATAAAATATGAATAAATGATAAAATATGAATAAAAACAAATGATGAATGATTACAAATACGAATAAAATATATAAACCAATGTTAATAGAATTGTTAATTATTCATTAATTAAATGATATTAATCACATCTATTCACTTTTTTAAAAAAGAGTAAGTTCATTGTTTTATTTATTATTTATATTTTCTTCTTGAAATTTGAATAGATTATTTCTTCTTTTGTTTTATTTCTTTTTATATTTATCTTTTTAAATTTCATTTCATTTTATTTCTTTTTTTAATTTCTTGTTTGATATTTTATTTTATGATGCATGAACATTTCTTTATTACTATATCTGATTTCAATTATTATTAACATAATCATTTATATCATGTTCATTTAAAAGTATATGTTTCTAAATATCTTTATTAATAAATATAATTTCTTATGTTACAATATTTAATATTCATCTATATAAATTATTACTTTTGTGTAATATTGATTAATACATTTCTATCACAAAACAACATCATAATCAAATAATAATTATGAGAGTCAGATTTTGAATTTTTATTACTGTTTTTGTTGTATTTCATAAATGTCACAACTAATAATAAAAGATCACATAAACAAAATATCAATAAAAAGTAAATTCATCAATTTCATATCCATTTAAATAAAATACTATTTTTTTCAACATAATAAATACAGAATAAAAGATAAAATAAAGAGAAATAATGAATATAATAAAAGATGATAAAAGAATAAATAGAATAAGTGATAGAATATAACATAAGAATAGAATAAGCATAAAAACACAAATAAAGAAATTCAATAAATTATAGAAAATGAAGAATAGCATCAAAATAAAGAAATAATAATAAAAATATATAAATAATATAAAATGATATATTATTACATTTATTTCATTTTGTAAATTAACAAATAAGTATGAAATGATAATATTCAAATG